TTTTTTTTGTGCTTCAGCAAATACAGGTTTTTAGCTTGCTTTTTAGGATCACAAGTAAAGATGAGAGCCTTTTGTAGTGCTGATAATGGATTATATAGCTAACACTTGCCTTACAGAAAGACTAGGGCATTTTAAACTATGGCTATGTATCTGTGAGAATCACAATATGGATCATGTGTTATAATTGGAAAGGAGAGGGTCCTTCCTTAAAAGCTTCTGAGTTGAGACTCACCGCATTAGAGGATAATAGTTTTAAAGGAAACCACAGTTCTAACAAGTGACCAGGTAACAAGGATAAAAGAAATTTGAAGACATTCTTGAAGCTTCATATCTGCTATTATTTATAATCTCTTCTCCTGCCAAGGCTTTTACTCTATAGTAAAATTGATTAATTTGCATGTATCTCTTCTCTGTGATCGCATTATCTGTGATAAAGGTGTGCACAAATAGATAAATGCACAAGAGAGGAAAGAGGATGGAGACAATGCCAGGTGGAGTTGGGGATGCATAATTTTTCATCTGAGTAATATGGGGGATATATTTAGTGTCCTAACATTAATCATGTTTTTCCATAATTCTGAGCAATGGTAAAAACAAAAGCTTGTATAATACTGTTAATAAAATACTTGCCATGGAATGGTTTAAAATAAATGGAGCTTTCTTTTTAGCATGAAATAGGAATCTAACTGGTCTTAAGGTTCTCCCAGCACACACAGATACAGCTGTTTAATTCAATATCCTCTTATCTATAAGTCCTACATTTAATTTACTGCCATTCAAGTTTCTTTATAGCTTTGCTTTGCAAAAAATAGTCCTGATTAAAAGGATATTATCACAGCTGATGGATCTTGAAAACATTTTTCTCAGTACTTCTAATAATTTTGAAAATGACCTTCAGACTCTTGTAAGGCTAGATTTGACAGTCTCCAATTTTTACTTGGTTTTATTTTGGGCAATGCTAGTTAGGGGTGCATTTGGTAATATTATATTATCATATTGCCTTCTTATCTATCATTATAAATGGAACGTTACTAAGACAGAGTGTTAAAAAACAAGTTTGCTGCAGGGAATTTCAGGTCCCAAAAAGCTGATCTCCCAGAATCTGGAAAAAACCTGAGTGCCTGAGAACAGATGACTGGTTAAAGAAACTTTGGTACATCTACACAATGTGGTAGTACTGTGTAGCTGTTAGAAAAGATGAAGTCATGAAATTTACATACAAGTTGTACTACATGGAAAGTATCATGCTAAGCGAAATGACTCAGAAGGAGAGGGATAGACATAGAAAGATTGCATTCATCTGGGGAACATAAAGTAACAAAATAGGAGACTTAACACCCAAGAGTGGCTAGGATTAGTACAAGGAGTTTTGCTCCATGGCTTGGAGGCCAGCCACACATTCTAGGGGAAAAGGGAGCTCAGATAGAGAAAGGAGCACCAAATAAAGGGTGTTGGGAGGATCCTCCCAGGATGGGAGAATCATGCTGAAAGTAGGCTACAGACCAAACATGATTGCCACTCAATTTCTCTTTTGCAAACCACAACACCCAAAAGGAGAGAGAGAACAAAAGGAAATACCCTGCCACAGAGGCAGGGTGGGATGGGAGGCTGGGGGCTGGGAGGGATACTGGGATCCGTGGTGTTGGAAAATTGGCACTGGTGGAGGAATGGGTGTTTGATCATTGTACAATTGAAACCCAAGCACAAAAATTTGTAAATCTACAACTGTACCTCATGGTGTTTCACTAACAAAAATTTTTAAAAATATGTAAATGATGGATAATGGGCACTGGTGGAGGGATGGGTACTGGATCACTGTATAACTGAAACCCAAGCACAAAAATTTGTAAGTCTACAACTGTACCTCATGGTGTTTCACTAATAAAATTTTTTAAAAAAGCTGATCTCCTCTCTAGTTGATACTGAATTATATAGCCTTTGTCTGAGATGTTGAGCTGAAGCATTCTTCAAACTGGGAGGACTAGATTCTTGTACATGAGAGTTATACTTTGCAGCTGTGACAGATGCCTCCCTGAAAAAAAAAGCTCACAGAATTAGTTTTGGTGCTTATTTCAGGAAAGTGACTTAATTTACAAATTCAGTGATTTCTACAAGTTGGCCAAATCCATCAATCTCCACAGCAGGCCATTTCTATCCACTCTCCTGTTTTGATTGTATAGTAATGACTGGTGACTTCTGTGATTCTGGGAGTAAGGAAAATGCTATTGCTCAACAGGCAACACAAACTTATTATGCTTTGATACTCTGCTAAGAAAATCATTGCCATTCTTCCAGTTCTGCTGGTTGAAAAACCTGGAACTTGTTTTGGCTTTATATCCCATGGAGTATATATTCTTTTCAAAAATTGGTGTGTGTGAGAGAATGCCTTTTAAGCAGTGTTCATGGGGCCTCTGCCTATGCCAGGTGATATTTGACCAACAATATTGGGTGGTTTGATGGTCCAGCCAGCTGATACAGTGCTGCTCGAGCCCAGGTGCTTGGTAGTCACCAGGGATTTACCTGGTTGTATTTCAGGGGGCCATTAGGTCCTGGGAATCAAACCTGAGGCTTCACACATGTGCTACCGTCCTTTCTCCCTATACCCTCTGTGCAGTATATTTTTGACTTATGAAATAAACTATTTCTCACAAAGGATTCACTTTAAAAATCACCATGATTACAATTCAGTTTATAGGGGTTTTCCATTGTTCAGAGTCTTAGGCAAAAGAATTTCAAATTGTAAATGTGATAGTAATTCCAAAATGGTGAATCTTGACAATTTTTTCTCATATTTGATGGTAGAACCTTCTCAAATGCAAAAGTAAATCAGTTTTGTTCCTCAGTAATTTTTATATTGGCCACCAAATCCTTCAGGTTTGGTCTTTATATATACATATATATATATGTATGGACTTTTTTGATATTCACATACCATGCCATTGGTCTTAGCCAGTTACATAGTGTGAGAGGAGTCAGGGGCACAACAGGTAGTGCATGTGTATTGCTGGTAGTCAAACTAGGTTCAGCTGAATACTTTGTAGGCAAGCCCTTAACCTTTGTATTATGTCTTTGGTCCACAAGATTGTAACCTATTTTATTTTATTTTGTTTTGTTTTGTTTTAAGGACATACATGGCAGTACTTAGGATTTACTCCTGGCTCTTGGCCCAGAGATTACTTCTTGAAGGGTTTGGAGGACCATACAGAGGGCCAGGGTTCAGGTACATGACAGACAAATGCTTTACTCCCTATACTCTCTATCCAGCCAAAACTGCAATCTCTTTTAATTATGCTAAATTAGCAGCTTTAATAATATCTGAAATTGGAGCTGGGGAGATAGTACAGTGGGTAGGGCATTTGCCTTATACCCCTTAGGCCCCTCTAAGATTGATGCCTGAACACAGAACCGCTTGTAAGCCCTTGCCACAGCCAGGTGTGGCCCAAAAAGCAAAACAAAACAGCAATACTGATATTAAAATTGAGTAAGCAGTCACTGAAATTGGCTTTAATTAAAAAAAAAAGAAAAGAAAACTCAGACAATCTGACAGCCTCTAATAGATGCATAGATGAAGACCTGGAAAAAGAATGAGGTGGATTTTCTAGTTAACTTTTTATTTCCTAAACTGGAAAACTTTAGGCTAATGGCGAGAGAATCAACAAGATTTTTGTGGAGTCCGTTTCCTTTGAGGTCTTTATAGGCATACAGATGGAAAGAAAAAAGTCAGGTAACTTCACTCACTTGCTCTAAAAAGAGGCCTCTTCTGTGTGAAAATCTTTGTTTCCCTGATCTTATAGCTTCCTCTTAATCCCTTGAATAACTTCGTTCTCCAGTTGGCAACCATTGATCTAAAGCTGAGTTTCCCAAATTAATTTTACCTACCACCCCTTTTCCAGAAAAAAAATCACTCCGCATCCCCTGAAAATCTTATCTTCTTTATGCAAACAAACAAAAAGTGTACCTCAATTACTCCTAAGACTGCTACTGCCCCTCAACCACCTCTGCTGCTTGTTTATTACAGTGCCTTATAACAGGGAGCATCGCTCACTCTGGAAAATAATAATCTAAAGCAATCATAGATTTTGGTAAACATAATGGAGTTATTATGCTTTTGAATTTTTTTTATTATCAGCGTTTACAAAGAAGCTAAGAACTGTTTATGATCTTCAGCTCTATACTTTGTTCTACGAGAGATATTTTGACTGGGCTGATTGGATGTTCAACAAAGAAAAAGTACATTATTTTCAAAAACCATTAGCAATAAATAGGCCACACTTAGAATATTACTTTTATTTAAGGCTCTGCCAAGGTTTGTCTGTTTCACATAAATGTTCTAGTCGTCTCTCAGAACGAAGGAAACTGCAAAACTGCCCTTCCCTGAAAGAATTTGCTCTTAAATTTAGCTGTAGGTTTGTGAGGGCAGTGCTGTCTAGTGGACACTGAGGCACTGACACTCATAAAGCTGTACTACCTTGCTTAGAAATACTGTGATGGATAATAATCTGGTGGTGAATTTTTGTTTTGCTGCACTCATCTGACTCTGTTTATCTACATACAATTCAAACTTTCAGAGACACAAAACAGTTTGGGAAGGGAATCAGTAAGCCCCAGTGTTGAAACTTAATCTAAAGTGGTTCATATGCCCTAAAACAAGAAGTTGGTTTTGAAGTTGGTTCACTTGGTCTTATTCCTTGTCATGAGCCACAATTTGGAAAAGCAGGATTCTTGCTATCACCTTCTTATTCTACACACAGTCTCTAAATGATAGTTTCAGTTCCAAAGAGAATATAACAGCCCAGATCATGTTGGGAACACAATCATTTTCTCAGTCTCTGTAGCAATCATAATAATTCTCAAACCCAAAACTTTTGAGAGAGACAACTGTTACGGCCTAACATAAACAAGGGGGAAGGAAGAACTGAATTCTCTTGAAAATTAAATTATAACTTTTTTTCTGTTTCTATGAAGAAGACTGTACTAATAAAACTGCAAATTTCTTTCAGGTGGGTGTACATGGCATTAGAATAGAATTCATCAATGAAAAAGGATCAAAACGCACCGCTACCTACTTACCGGAGGTTGCAAAGGAGCAAGGTCATTGTTGTACTTTATTTCATATGATCTGGTGAAGAAGTTAAACAAATATACAAATTGGATTGCAATATCTGACCTTGCAGTTTTGTCTTATAATTGATCAGTGTAAAATTATAAGAAATGACTCTACCATTACTGCCACTGCAATGTCTGAAATTGGTGAATTACTCACATAGGAGTGGAATCTCTCACACTAAAGTTTGACAGAAAAAACACATGAAAGTTTTCTTTCAAAAAAGCAAAGAGTTGTAAAATTGGATTTCATTTTAAGCAATGGCTTGCTGCAAATTTGAAGTGCCATTTCCCTAATTCCATTCTACTTTAAATAACCTTTTGCCATCAGCAAAACTTCTATTTGACCACCAGACATAAAGTTTATTATCAGTATCAAACGCTTCATACCTAGGTGGTTCCCATGACTGATACTACTACTATTAAGATTTTAGGTTTCCCATTAATATTAGGAATAGTGAGACTACATGATATGTTTGTGTTTTATATGCTTGGTCTGCACTTTCTAATCCATACTTTTTTGCATATTTAGCACAAATCTATATGAACAACCACTGTAACACAAAATAACTTTTTACTCTGTAGTATCTTGTCCTTTTTAGTCACTCCAGATTGTAATTTCATGTTAGTAGAAATTAATAGTTCCATATCTTACACAGCTTTTCATCAGAAAGCAATTTAAATGGGGTTGTTTCTTATAAATGTGAGATACATAGCAGCAAAATGTTACCTAATCAAATCCCCATGTGAGAGAGTTAAACTTTCAGGTTAACTGTCTGAGAATTTACTTGAGTTGCTTTTAAAAATGTCTTAATCTTGCAGTTCCAGTGACTTTGTAAAGGATACATAGGAGATAAATGGACTGGGACAGTAGAATATCAAGCCATGTCAGATCAATAAAATGCCCTTGAATACTGCACACAAACTTTCTTGATTGGCTATAGAAGATACCTTTAGGAACAGTAATTACCGTTAGTTAGGGTGGTCGTCGTAGACATTATTGGGTTGGCACAATGATATTTAGGCTTTTCCTGCCCTCTTAAAGATGCTACTGTTAGGGAAGAGCCCATTTTTTGTGGTTTGTTAGCAAACATATCTGAGCACTTACTGCCAGCCTCCCAGACTCTTTCGCTTCGAATGGAATTGAGATAAAGAAGTCAGTGTTAGCCATCATGGGTAGCCAGAATTTTAAGTGTGGCGGTGAACCTACTTCTGAAGTTCAGGATTAAATCTTAGCTGTTTGTGTGTGATTGCTTTTAGGATCAAAGAAGTTGATGGAAGTGATAGCTGACCTCTACAAAGTCATTATATTTTACCAAAGATGTTTGCTACCTGTGCTTGACTGGTATTTATCTGCTCTACTCTCCACAGGATGGGACCATATTCAGACCATAGACTCCTTACTGAGGAAAGGAGGATACAAAGCTCCAATTACTAATGAATTCAGAAAAACCATAAAATTGACCAGGTACAGAAGACATTTTCTGGTTTAAGGCAATCTGGTACATTTTATGTGTATTCCTATAACTCTTTGATTGCTTTGTCTTCCTAACTATGCTTGCTTCTTTTTTCTAAAACAGCATGTAAATGAATGGTGGGTCCATACTGAGAGTGGATACAAAGAAACTCTGCTTGGCAGTAAAGCTTATATGATGTTTGAGTCCATCCTTCCCATCTTTAGCTCTGTGGGATTACTCTGGTGTTGTATAAGCAAGCCCTCTAAGACTTCAGACTACATTATTGAAGGAAGTTACATGAATTAGCTAGTTGGCTTGCTTTTAACACTGCTTAGCAGAACCCTAGGGTTCTGATAAGCAGCTCTCAGATTTGAATTAACCCGAGAATTTGGCAAAAATAGAAGTCTACCATGAAAGCCTGCTGAAAAATATAATTGATCTAGACTCATAAATGCTAAATAAAATTTTAGCATGGCACAATAGGAATACTTATTTTTAAAAGGGAGCTATCAAACATTTTTTGGGGAAATGGGTTGCCGTTTCCACTAACTTCAATTCCCTAAAACCACATTGAATGCCTGTAGTCTAAAAACAGACTGTTCTCAGCTCTGAGGAGTTTCAAGTTGGAAAATGTCTCCATCAATCCTCATCTATACTCACATTTTAGGAGAGTAAAAGGGGTTACAAAAATAATTATTAACATAGGGCAGAATGTGATGGGTACCATAAGATTGTAAAGTAGTATAAATCATTAGAGAGTTGATGGATGGTAAAATATTTCATAGGAGGTGGGATTGAGGCTGGACTTCAAGAATGGGTAGAGTATTTGAGAGATATAGAGGAAATGGATTAACTAGGCTTTGGAGGGGCATATCTGGCTGCACTACAGGCTTACTCTTGGCTTTGTGCTCAGAGATCACTCCAAGTGCTGCATGGAGGACCTTAAATGGTGCCAGAGATCGAAAATGGGTCAGCCCATTTCAGCAAGGCAAGCACCTACATGTTATAATACCTCTTTAGCCTGAATCTGAAGTAAGTTCTTGAGTTAAAGCATGTAGATGGCAGAGTCAGAGCAAGCTTTAAAGAAATCTTCAGCTCAGTCTTTTAGTATCTCTCTTCTTTATATATATATAAGGTGTTCATTGGAGGAAAAAATATGGTCTAGATTATAGGTTGCGTCAGATCATAGAAAATCTTGAGTCACAAATTATATAGGGACTATAGATCTAATTGTATAGGCAGAGCTAGCCACTGTGGGGTTTTAAACAGGTGGATCTGGGAAGGTAAAAGGTTGGAATATGAGACCAGCAAATTAGTTAGGAGTCATTGCTACTATTTAAGAATCTGTAGCAGTAATCCAAACAAGGTATATAATGGAAACCTTAACCAGGATATGTGGCAGTGGAATAGGGAGAAAGAAGGGAATAAATAAAAATGAATCATTGTGGAAGCAATGGAACTACTCAGATATCATCCAAAAATAGGAAAGAGGAATAGACCCAAGTCGTTAATCTAGATAGAAGGAACCAAGTTAACCCCTTTAACCAAGAGAAGGACCAGAGAATCATATTTATACATTGATTTTGGTTTTGAAGTGCTTCTTTGTATAGTAGTCTATAAGAACAATCTACTAGGTTGCTTAAAATGTGCATGTGTAGAGCTCATAGCTGGATGATAATTTAGGATCATCTGTAAATATAACTTCTAAATCTACAAGGGTTGAGTTCATTGAGAGGGGGCCAAGTATAGAGTCAGAAAATCTGAAGGTAGACACTTAGGAAAATCCTACAAAGCAAGCGTAGGATGAGTTGTTAGAGGTAAGGTACAAACAAGGGAACACAGATTTGTATAATCTGTTACATAAGAAAGCAGGGGCTGGAGCGATAGCAGGGGCTGGAGCAATAGCACAGCGGTAGGGCGTTTGCCTTACAAGCGGCCAACATGGCCGACCCGAGTTCAATTCCTCCACCTCTCTCGGAGAGCCCGGCAAGCTACCGAGAGTATCTCGCCCGCACGGCAGAGCCTGGCAAGCTACCCGTGATGTATTCGATATGCCAAACACAGTAACAACAAGTCTCATGACGGAGACGTTACTGGGCCCGCTCGAGCAAATCGATGAACAATGGGAGGACTGTGATACTGTGATACTGTGATAAGAAAGCAGAAAAGTAGCGATGAAGGGTAGTACGGGATGTATAGGCATAGATGTACAGGTTGTACAGGATATACTGGAGCAAAGGGATGTATAGGCAGTACAGGGCAGTACAGGGCAGTAGGGATGTACAGCAGTACAGTGAGCAATGCACTTGCCTTGCACACAGCTGACCCAGGTTTGGTCCTCAGCACCCCATATGGTCCCATGAGCTTGCCAGGAGTGATTCCTGAATGCAGCAGTAGAAATAAGCCCTGAGGACTGTGGTTCAAAACCCAACCACAAAAAGGTAGTGGTGAGCACTGTTATGAGGAAGAAGAAAGCTGAGTGAGGGGTAACTTTTCTGAAAGAGCAGTTTCATGGAAGAGTGAGGCAGGAGAACCCCAGGAGCACTAGGAAGGGTACGAGATAAGGATTGAAGGTAGAAAACACTACTGATCTTTTGTGAAGAGTGACAATGAAAAAACTAGAGATGGGGGCAAAGAGAGGGTTTTGAATACAAGTATTGAGAGTTTTTGATTTTGCAATAAAATTTTGACTGGTTTATCATTGGTGTAGAATGCTGTCTTTTTTAAAAAAAGAAACAAGGCTTCATTACTGTTTTTGCTTAATGGCAAGACTTAGGTACATTAGATCTAGTAGAGAGAGGAAAAGAATTGGCTAAAGAGGGAGTGATAGAAAATAGCAGAAGAAAAGCAAGTCAACTGAATAAGATTCATGTATGATGGTAATAGGTCAGCTTTCCTGTGTCTCATCCTGTTATCAAACCAGAGGTAAGGGTAAAATTTCTCATTTTAAAAAGTTGTAGAGTGAAAAGATCACTGAGATTGGACTGGATTCCATGGTTTTGATCTCAGTGTTGTGACTTGTGCATTGTAGGCCATTGGGTAAGGCACTGTTTCTCTCTGGGACTCTGTCTCCTGGTGTATAAAATTGTCTTCAAGCAAAGACAGTAAAGACACAGGATGACTGGTCCACACTGGGAAGCTTGCCACAAGGAGGTGGGGATGCAGCTAGGACAAAGAAAGGAACGCTTTGACAATGACAGTTTGAAATGATCACTCTGGACAAGAACTAAGTGCTGAAAGGAGGTGAATTGATATCCATGATAACTTTTCAGTACCTGTACTGCAAACCACAATGCCTAAAAGGAGAGGAGACGGGGAGAGAGACAGAGGGAGGAGAGATGATACTGAAGGGAGAGAGAGAGAGGAGAGAGACGGGGGAGAGAAAGTGAGCCTGCCATAGAGGTAGGCTGGAGAGGTGGGGGCAGAAACTGGGGACACTGGTGGTGGGAAATGTACAGCGGTGAAGGGGTGGGTGTTGAAACACTATGACTGAAACCCAATCATGAACATCTTTCTGACTCTGTATCTCATGGTGATTCAATAAATTTGTCTCCAAGGCTCCTCCTAGCATTGAGGAACTTTGGCATGTTACTGGCATGTTACCTCTTTCTTGTTAACTTTCTCTCTTCCCTGTCTGTTTTAGGTACCGTAGTGAAAAGATGACCCTGAGTTATGCCGAATACCTTGCTCATCGCCAGCATCATTTCCAAAATGGCATTGGGCATTCCCTTCCATCATACAACCATTATTCCTGACACTGAGCCGCACAACCAGTCAATGGGCCTCTCTGCAGACCTCTTCCAAGGAGACCCTACCCCTTCTTGGTCTAGCTATCTCTTTTATTGTACTATTTTATGATGATAGTTTCCGTTGCCATGGTGAAGATTCAACATTGTTAGTTAACATCATCATGGTAACGGGTAGGAAATGGCATTTGAAAAGATTCTGTTTTACGATTTTAGAAATTTTTTTTTGCAGCATATATAACTTTGAGGTGTTTTTTCTTACAATATTATATAGAGTTTTGCTTTGCTATCTCAGTAAGGTTCTATCTTTCTGTCCTTGTCTTTCTTCCTGTCTTGCCTTCCTTCTTTCAACTGTGGATGGAAGAAATTGTGCAGTTTTAAAGGATTTTATGTAGGATTTTCTTTAGTTTTCTTCAGTAAGATAGGTAATTTGCTAGTTAAGTTTGACAGTAATTCATAGAAAATTCAGTTTCTCATTTATTACTATCAAATTTTTCTAAACTTAATTTTGCTAAGATAGTCTATTACGTGGGTTTTTACTCCGTAAGAATACTTTTCAACCCCATGATTAAAATATATAATCTTTATTTCTAGTAGAAAACATTCAAAGGTCTGTGATAGGGCTTGTCACAGAGAGAGAGAGAGAGAGAAATCATTTATGTCTACTGTGCTGGTTATAGGAGAGATTGCCTCATCACATTATAGAATTGACTTTCAAACTGAAACATTGTTTCAAGAAAGTAGAAGTTATGTATGTTTCAGATACGCTAAGGAAATCATTTTTGAAGAGCTATGAATATCAGAGAGCAGACACAGAACTTAGTGCCTTTGAAAAGAATATAACTAAATGGAAATAAAAGGGATTAGGAAAAAAGGCAATTTAGAGAAATATTCTTATAAAAATTTTATTGTTTCTATATATGAAACAACATATTAGACAAATTCCTTACCCTTAAATATTTTTTTAAACTGAAAAAATATTTTGAGCAAATAACCAAAAAGACATTTGTCTACTATCTTAATTTAAATTTGTTAGCTTTAGATTTCATTAAGTCATGATTGGCCAGAGACAATTATAGCAACCATTTTAAGAAATGACAAAGATCATCTATGAACTAATGAAATAAATGTTCATATATGCCATGGTTTCAATAGTTTAAGGGCAATACTAGAATTTTGGAAATACTATAAAATAGGATGAATCTCATTCTGCACTACATGTTTTTGATGAGAACACATTTACTATGTTGTTATGTTACACCTACAAAAATGGAGTTGGCATTTATATTTGAAAGAATTAGAGCCCAGCCCATTTGCAGTACTAGTCTTAGGCCACTAGGAAGTCAGAATACATACACCCTGAGAAAAACCACAAATGGTCCTAGAGAAACATTACCTTCATAAGGGTAATGATGGTAAATTATATTTATATGTTTGTGTGTATACATATGTGTGTATATATACACACTATAATATTTCAAACAGGAAATTAGTATATCAAGTGATGACTAGGGTAAGTGTGGTGCAGAATATGTAGTATAAAGCTATAAAATGTTACTGAATAACAATGGCATAATTTATACATATAGTTGCTGTGACAAACGACAGGTGGCTAGTTCAGAATTCAAAAACCCTTTTCTACTTTGTGTAGTTGTTGGCTCACTTCCTTCTGCTTGCCATTGTGCGCTTTAGTTTTTTAAGAGAGTTCTTAGAAGTTTGTTGGTATTCCTTCATCCACAGCGTCTGTTGTTGAAATAACCATTTTCAGTTTTGATGCCTTAACTATTAAGCCAATTATTAGCCTGAAATGGAATCTCAGTAGCCAGTTCCACTGAACGTAGAAATTAGTCAGAGAAAGCTAGCTGCTACTGGGCTTTACAAAGGAATGTTGAGCCCTTTTCTACTTGGGAGCATCATAGAGCAGATTAGTCTTTCAGAATAAAAAGAAATGGCTACCTGATAGAAACTTTTTCTTGCCCTTATAGGGAAACTGAGCACAAGCTTAATGATATTGTCTGCTGCAAAAAAGTAAATGTTTTAAAACAAGCAAACTGAAGAGAGACAAAATAGACCAATATTGATCCATCTTATCCATCATCTCATCAGTTCAATAGGCTCCTCGTCCTGGGTGAGCTCGTGGTTAGACTTTTTTTAAAAAAAGAAAAGATCTAATACATATATGTGTGTATATATACATATACATACATATGTGTGTTTTACGGTGCTAATCAGTCTTGAGCAGGTCACGAAACTGGTCATGCGGACTCTAAAATCATATCAGATTTTTTAAAGATTCTTGATACATGCAGATGTTATACAGATTTTCTTACCAGTGTAATAATGTTATACTGAAGAAATAACCATCCTGCAGGCTTTAGAGGACGAGGTCAGCAATATTTCCCACCATGGCTTGGGGGAAAAGGATAGTTTTGTCTCCTTTTGTATCTAATTAATGCACAGTGCATTCTTGTCTTTTAAGTAGATGTTGACTAAAAGACTTTATAGTGTAAAGGGTGTTATACAAACTGTAATGGTGTGCTTCAAACAAATGAATGCTAGACCCTTTCACCTTCCTCGTATATTGCAAAGTTGTTAAATATGTGGTTTGACTTAACTTTGAACATGTTGAAATATGTAGCATGTGTTTTTTAACTCAAAGATTCTAATTGCACAGGTTGTGTTTTAGCCAGTTGTGGTTTATTTGTTCAGAAACACAAATGTGAATTGCACTCGTATCACCAGAATATTGTATAAGTTCAGTGATCTTTAAACAGCTTGGACGTAATACTTGAACTTCATTTGAGTAGCACAAAGTTTACATAGCCCCTTTTCAATGTTAATTAGTTCAATTTATGTTTTCCGTTTTCAAATGCAACTGGGTATTTCTTTTCTTGGAAAATATTGTATGTTTACTTTGGTATATAGCAAACAGCTTCCATTTCTGAAAAGTGTTTTCTTGTTCTAAAAGTTAGCCAGGTACCAGATTCTAAAAGAACAATTGTCCCCTCCCCTCCCACTACCTCCCCTAACCCCATTAAGTGGCCTTCTGACTGCACAAGAATGTGCTACTACCCGTTCCAGACTCCCCTATGATGAGAGGTCAGTATGTAATTGGTAGAGGAAGTGAAAGGCTTGCTCTTTATTCCTCACCCAATTTAAAGCAGTTAGAAAATTTTCAGTCCAGTGCATCCAGTCCCAGCACACCGGAAGTTTGTATACTGGCCTCTTTTCATATCTTGAAATGTGCAGGAAATTCAAAACTGTCATCTGGAATAGGTTCCATCTCTTATGTGCGTTAGATCAAACCAAAGAAGCCCCCTGCCATGCCCAAATGCTGCTCCAAAAGCCTGCCTTCCAGTCCTTACAAAAACCTTGCAGGATTAAATGTGTTAACTTTTTTATTTTTGTACAGTTTCTAAGTGATTTTTGCTAGTGATGTGAAATTGAGTTAAGTTTATTTGAGGGGTGTGAGCATCTCCTCCATTTAAATGAACTGGTGGCTTTCCTTTTATTTTTTAAGAAGCGGAAACCTGTCGTGTGCCTATCAATTTAAGGGTTTCTGGTACATTATTCTTAAGACCAGCATTAATTCTTTATATACAGAGATATGTTTTCCTTGTTTTTTTTATTACTGTTTCAGAAGAAAATAAACCTTTCGTTTTGCTCTCAACCCAGTAACTACGCTGGTACATAGACGCACTGAGAAAAAAAAAAAAACTTTTATAACAACCTCAGACTCTTTTTGTATATCAAAATGGGTTGCTATTGAAATATTTGGACCTAGTTTCTAAGTTATTTTAGTGTTTTATATGTGCCCCCAAGTTACGTTGACTCAGTCACCAGCATAATGAAATCTTGGCGACACAATGGTGAAGACTCGTAATGAGCAAAAGCTACCTGGAGTAGCGTTTTTCTTTCTTAGTAACTTTTTTTTGATAACAGCAAAACATCACAGATTACCTGAAACCCCTTCAAGTATAACTTGATCCTCCTTCCTTCCACATTTAATTGCTTAATAGTTTGAAGAAACTATTGGAAATGGGCATTTTATATGACATTGTATGGCTTTAAATATTGCTCATGAGCTAAAAAAATGAGGTTTATGTGGGTCTGTAAGGTATGGCTGTGGAAAGATATTGTAGTAGTTTTGACACTATTGTTATTACCTTTAAAATAATTTACCCAATAAAAAGTTAAAACTGAGTTACCATTTATTGTTTCCCTTCTTTAACTGGCAGTCACTATGGGGTCATATTCTCATGGGTACTTTTTACTAACACAATAGTGGCCTGAAGACTTTGAAATAATATGATAAAGGAAGGAATACTTATTTTCCCCCAAACTAATATTCAAAAAGCCACCCACCTGCAGCTCCTCCCTACTGGATGATTTGCCAATGTCACCCTTTGGCCTCACCCTGAATCCTGACATGGTGCTAGAGTCTAGCCTTTATTGGGCAATCTGGTCATGGATCTGAAGCATTCAAGCTTGAATACTGGTGGGAATGTAGCTACATTTTAGCCCTTTCCAAAGTGCTCTCCAAAGCAGTCTGTGTGTCTCTCCAAAGCAGACAGCTACCCCTTTGCCAGCTGGTAGAGAGCAATAGCAGTGCTCTCCAGTGACATCCTCTGAGAGGTAGAAAACTTTCTCCTGCCATCAAATTGTCATCATTCTTTCAATATAGGACAGAATCTGAAAATAAATGTCCAAGGATGTGGCTGCTCAGGTCTTGTCTATTCATACACATAGATAGGCATGCCACTCAAAAGAAACTAGTAGGGGCTGGAGGGATAGCACAGTGGGTAGGGCATTTGCCTTGCATGCGGATGACCCAGATTTGACTCTGAGCATCCCATATGGTCCCCTGAGCACTGCCAGGAGTAATTCCTGAGTGCATGAGCCAGGAGTAACACCTGTACAATGCCGGGTGTGACCCAAAACACAAAAAAAGTAGTAATCAATTTTCTAGTTCTAGTGTGGTAGGAGATGGAGTTTATACTCAACCTGTGCTTAGGGAAAACATCTGAATCTTGAACTACACAATGGGTACTACCAACTTTCAAAGCCAGATAATAAGTGCCAGTATCATGAAGGTCATCTCTGGGTGCACTACCTCTACCAGCTGTTGCCTTATCTTTCCCCTTGGAAAGGCTACCAAGGGCATCGTTGCAATAACACTGCTCTTTCTAAAGCATTTGCTCTTTCATCCATATTTCATCATGCACATTTCAGGATTAATTGCAAGTGAATACATGCAGGATGATTTTCTGTTCCATTGCTCCAAAGCCCCACCCTAGGAGAATTTTATGACAGGTGTTTCTGTCAATCAGTGGCTAAAAACAGCCATCTCAGACTCTAGAGGACTATTGTGGTTTCAAATAGCGCTTCATTGAGCCAGCTGTCCACTCAGAGCTTACTAGTTTGCCATTCATGTTTAATGGTACATTGGACTTTGTAATGATTTACATAATATTAATAGGTTCAGGTAGAGTGAAGTAATTTAATGAGCCCACAATGTTTTTTTATAGATTGTATTAGTGGTTAACTGAATGATCTGGACAGATTTCAACTTCAATAATAATTCTTCACCTACCTAAATTCTTCCTCAGAGTTCCAGCATTTCCTCTTTACATTTGATGCCTCACTGGGCATCACTGCAGGGGAGGTGGGCACGCCTGGAGGTGTTCAGGGCTCAATCCTGGTTGTGTGCTCAAGAATCACTCCTGGTGGGGCTTAGAGACTCATCTGGGGTGCTTAGGATTGAAACAAGGTCTGCTACATGGAAGGTAAGTGCCTTACCTGCTGCACTATCTCTCCAGCTCCACTTCTTTTAAATAGCTTCACTACCTCAGAGAGGAAGTATGGCTGTGTGAGCTGAGGCAGTTCTCTGTTAATGGAAAATACTACCATGTTTAAGTGCTCCTCTGTGAAGGGCAAGAAGCAAGTGCAGGGAGGAATCTGCTTCTGCACTAAGCACTTCCAGTCAGTGAATATCTGTTCCAGGAAATGGCTTTGCTCACTTTCTTTAGTCCTGAGGCAAAAGTGAAACACACACTTAAGTGTGCATGTTTATTATACTCTAATAGTTTCTCTTCTGTCTGCCAAGATTTTTCACTGAATGGCAGGTTGCAACTGAAGGCATGTCCTGGATGTACTGTTTTGGTTACTACCTTCAGAGATATCCTTGATGCTGGTAGCCTGTGTATAATCTCCTACCCCAATCCCAAGCATGTAGGAAGAACTAAGTCTCAAGTACTGTTCCCAAGCCAGTCCACACTTGCATCCCCAGATCTTGGCAAAAAAACAAAAAACAAAACAAAACAATAAAAGCACAAATACACAAAATGAGTCGATGTTACTATATATCTCACACTGCCTAAATGGATCCACACAGAAGTTGTGGAAGGCACTCAGATTGCATGTTGTATAAATAAACACTGACTTGCACTTGCAGATTTACATCATGACAGATGATCACATTAGTTCATAGTATATGCATGAAGGGTGTGTTCTTGGGCTGGAGCATGTGGCTGGGTGGTGGCTGCATTACATGTTGCTGTGCTCACTCATTGCCCTGGCATCCTTGAGCTCATGTTCCTACTCTAGAAGTAGCCAAGTCAAAAGGCTGCTGCTAACTTTTTCAGCTTTTAGCCCATAGGAGAGACCCTCCTGGTATTTTTAGTTAAATTTCATTAACATCTCATTGTGATTTAAAAACAGGACTTTATTGATAGAAAAAAAATGTATACAGGTTCCTCCTCCCAACTGTAGAACATTTCTGCTTGATATGATTTGATAGGTTAATTTGGAGGTCTGGGAAACCGGTTGCCATTAAGTTGTATGAGAAAAAAAATTCTGAGTATCCCAGATTCAGATAAAAAAATGACCCACCAAATTATATCAAGTTAGGAAAGTTCTTTTGGCTAGCAGGGAAATCCTTTATTACCTGCTGAGAATGAGTTGCCAATTACAGTTTGAAAACAGTGAGGCTATTTTTTAAAAATTTTTATTAGTGAGACACCATGATGTACAGTTGTAGACTTACAAATTTATGTGCTTGGGTTTCAATTATACAATGATCAAATACCCATCCCTCCACCAGTGCCCATTTCCCACCACCACGGATCCAAGTATCCCTTCCACCCCCCATCCCCACCCTGCCTCTGTGGCAGGGCATTCCCCTTTGTTCTCTCTCTCTTTTTGGGTGTTGTGGTTTGCAAAAGAGGCATTGAGTGGCAATCATGTTTGGTCTATAGTCTACTTTCAGTATGCTTCTCCCATCCTAGGAGGATCCTCCCAACACCCTTTATTTGGTGCTCCCTTCTCTATCTGAGCTGCCTTTTCCCCTAGCATGTGTGGCTGGCCTCCAAGCCATGGAGCAAAATTCCTTGTACTAATCTCGGCCATTCTTGGGTGTTAGTCACCTATTTTGTTACTTTATGTTCCCCAGATGAATGCAGTCTTTCTATGTCTATCCCTCTCTTTCTGACTCATTTCACTTAACATGATACTTTCCATGTAGTACCTCTTGTATGTAAATTTCATGACTTCATCTTTTCTAACTGCTACATAGTACTCCATTGTGTAAATGTACCAAAGTTTCTTTAACCAGTCATCTGTTCTCGGGCACTCAGGAGGCAATTTTGATAATTCTGAGAATTTCTCATGAGGGCAATAGAAGACAGTTGTATAGTTTCAGCATTTTGTTGGTTGCAGTTGGTTTGTTTTGACTATACAATAATAAGAAAGTCCTGACTGGCCCGGTGAACAGGGGATATCTTGTGTACTGGGTTGTAGAAATGTAAAGTAACTTCATGGGCTGGAGAGATATTCCAGCAGGGAGTGCACTTGCCTTACATACAACTGATCCAGGTTGAATCCCTGGAACCATGTATGACCTTCCGAGCTCCACCAGGAGTTATCCCTGAACACAGAGCCAAGATTATTCCCTATGGAATAAAACTTGGTACTTATTGGACTCAAGTGTAAAACCCAGTGTAGCCAGAACCTTTTTTTAAAAATTTTTATTAGTGAAACACCATGAGGTACAGTTGTAGACTTACAAATTTTTGTGCTTGGGCTTCAGTTATACAATGATTGAGTACCCATCCCTCCAGCAGTGCCCATTCCCCACCTCCAATGCTCCCAGTATCCGTCAGATCACCCCACCCCTGTGGCAGGGCATTCCCTTTTGTTTTCTCTCTCCTTTTGGTGCTGTGGTTTGCAAGAGGCATTGAGTGGCAATCATGTTTGGTCTATGGTCTACTTTCAGCATGCATCTCTCATCCTGGGAGGGTCCTCCCAACACCCTGTACTTGGGGCTCCCCTCTCTATCTGAGCTGCCTTCTCTTCTAGTATGTGGAACTGGCGTCCAAGCCATGGAATGAACCTCCTGGTACTTATCTTGGCTATTCTTGGGTTTTAGTCTCCTATTTTGTTACTTTATGTTTCCCAGATGCATGCAATCTTTCTATGTCTGTCTCTAACTTTCTGACTCATTTCACTTAGCATGATACTTTCCATGTAGTACCACTTGTATGTAAATTTCATGACTTCATCTTTTCTAACAGCTGCATTATACTCCATTGTGTAGATGTACCAAAGTTTCTTTAACCAGTCATCTGTTCTCAGGCACTCAGGTTTTTTCCAGATTTTGGCTATTGTGAATAGTGCAGCAATGAACATAGAAGTGCAGGTGTCATTTTGACTGTACTTTTTTGCCTCTCCGGGATATAGTCCCAGGAGTGGTATTGCTGGGTCAAATGGGAGCTCAATTTCTAATTTTTTGAGAATTGCCCATACTGTTTTCCAAAAGGGCTGAACCAGTCGACATTCCCACCAGCAGTGAAGGAGGGTCCCTTTCTCATCACATCTGCACCAACACCGGTTGCTTTTGTTCTTTTGGATCTGGGCCAGTCTCTGTGGTGTGAGATGATATCTCATTGTTGTTTTGATCTGCATCTCCCTGATGATTAGTGATGTAGAGCATTTTCTCATGTGCCTTTTAGCCATTCAGATTTCTTCTTTGGGAAAGTTTCTGTTCATTTCATCACCCCACTTTTGATATTTTCTTCTTGTAGAGTTCAACCAGTGCTTTGTATATCCTTGATATCAACCCTTTATCAGATGGGTATTGGGTAAATATCCTTTCTCATTCTGTAGGTTGTCTTTGTATTCTGGTTACTGTATCTTT